AAGTCCAAGTTAGGGAAAGTTATCATAACCTGTAGATTTGGGACAGGGATCTTGTCTGGTGCTCACTTGGGAGCTTTTGAGCACTGTGTGGAGGAACACTGGGTTGAGGTGGAACTAGGCATAGAGGACTCCTGATTGCACAAATGCAGCTCAACCTACACAGAGGAGAAACAGAGTGAGGAGGCACCCCTGATCCCCACGTCCACCGCTGAGACAAGCTCAGCCTGCAAGAAAGGAGCTGAGCAGGTATAGCACGGGCTGAGACAGTGCCCTGGGTTTCCATAAACTGTATATTGTGTATTTGATGTGGAAGAGGGGAAGGAGGGTTAATCAAGCTGCTTTTACATTGGTCACAATTTCTTTTTCCATGTGCATGGTGTTTCCAGTGTTTCTTTGCACTATTTCCCATTTTTCCCCACCAAAAGAAAATAATAAAACAAAAAATAAGTAGAACCTTCTGACCTTACTGTGGAGACTTCATTAATAATTTCCTAGTGGCAAAAATAGTCTGGCTAGGAGCCTAGGTCAATTTTATTCATTGTGCAGATGAACTCCCCAGTGGATCCCAGTCGCTGGTCTCTCCCATCACCAGAAGGTCATGGAGGATGGCTGGGTCTCTGCAAGTTTTCTGCCAGACTATAGGATGGGAGCCAAAGTGCTACAAGGATTTCACTAAGTGCTTGTGGGGTGGCTAGCACACAGGACACGCGAGCCCACAAGGGTCCTAGGCCAGGGGATATTGCCAACAATTAAGCCAATAGCTCTCGTGTTATATGAGGTGGGTGCACCTAATATTCTCCGTTGTGACTGAGTTTATTGTGTACGTTGGGTAAGATCCATTGCACTCATGTCCTTCCCCTGCTCCTCCCTTTCCTTGGAAACTATCGGTTGCCTCCTCCCATGCCCCCATTTCAGAGCAGGGTTAGTCAGGGTATCTTTTCAAGTGCTGGAGTAAATCTAAGCAGCATGTGCTCACCTTCAGAGGACAACACAGCTTAGCAAAATTTTCAGTGGTGCTTTTTCCTTCCTCAGCCACCAGTGGGTTTTTCTGTCTGTCCTGCATGAAAAGAGGCTGTGCCCCTCAGGACAGCTCCATCAGACAGTGCAGTCTAATGGGCTACTGAAATGTTGTCAACGCCAAGTTGAAGTTTCAAAGCCATTGTGCCTTGTGGCCTCTTTCCAAGCAAAGTATTAGTCATGTTTTCTCTTCCTCCCTGCGGTAATTAGCAAGATGCTACACTGGAAAGTGAGGAGCTGCTCCCTGCTCTCTCCTTCCCACTGATGTGCATTTCCTTTATATTCCCTCCAAAGATTTCTCCACTGTTTGAAGAACTCCATGATCCATTAAAAAGTCCATCAGGACCAGATGCCCTCACAAATGGACATTTCACCCTGCACCATTTCCTGTTGCTGTGAAACAGACCCAAGGCAAAAATGTCCCTTTCCTTTCAGGATGATGTGTAGTCTCCACAGAGGATTGGCAATGCTGATTTCAACAAGCATAAGCCAACCTCCTAGTGAAATTACTTCAGAAGCTCAAGATGAAAGAATGAAATTTTTAAAATTGTGACCTATATTTCTTTGTTTTATGGCTTTTGAGTCCCTGAGGTTTACCTTTTGAAGCTCACTTAAGGGCAAGAATGGTCTCTTCCTAAGAGTCGTGTGCTGATACACTGGTGTGTTTATTTATATCAGTGTAGAGCTTTGAGGAAATAGCAAATATTGCAGTGTCACCAAAAAATTGGGGATGAGATTGGGATCCCATCAGGTGACAGTTCCTTCCACTGTAAGGAGTCCTATCAAAATCCCCCATAGCACGATTGCTTTCTCTCTTATCTAGGTTGTTCCACGAAGAAGTAACGCAGACCATGAGAAAGCCCATGCCATAGCCCATGGTGGTGAATTCATTACATGCGAGAAACAACTTGTGCTGATGTAAGTTGTTTCTCCTAATAGTAACATACCAATGTCAAAGATATGGCTAGCAAGACAGAAACATCAATTAAATAATGCCCCCAATGAAATCCACTGCAGTTTCTTAGACAATTATCTGATGAATAGTGTTTCCATTATTTAGCTAGTTTGACTCCCACAGTTAAAAAAAACGGATGATACAGCTGGTAAGGAGATGTCCAGGCTTTTATACTAAATATTTATGTGAAATCATGACTTCTGTTTTAGTTTTCTTGTACTGTTTTCGATGCTCAAAGAGTTTAAATCCTCAGTTAACCTCTGGGCTGCATTTTTTTCCCCTCTTCTGTGAGTGTTTTTTCTCATCTTGAGAGAAAATTTCATGGCCAAAATGACTATAATTTTCCATTATAAGACTTAAAAATAAAATTGATTATACAAGCTGGTTGTTTGAAGTTCTGTTTAACCTGGAGATACATTTTCTGGCAGATGTGATGAATTCATCATCTGAATTGCTAGCAACCACTGTGCATGCTCAGTGTGTTTCCACGTGGTGCTCTTCAGGATTTTGTCTGTGGTTTTTGTCTTTTGTTGTTATTAAGTAGTCAAGGATTGCATAGGCCCTTAATGACTATGGATAAGAATATATATTTAGTTGGTACCGTAAGATGACAGGGTAGAGCTAGACAGGTTTGCTACAGTGTGTAAAAAAAAAAAAAAAAAAACAACCCAACAACAACAACAAAATAAACAAAAAAAAAAACCCAACAAAAACCCCAAAACCAAACCAGTTTCTGATTTCAACTGCATCTTTATATCTCAGCAGGTTCAAGTGAATTGCAGTGGTCTAATTCCTGTCTAATGAAACCATATTAAAAAATAAAGGCAAATGGATGCCTCCAAGACATCTGTGAACTTGATCAGGTTTATGTACTTTACCAGGATTTGGGTCTTATATAAATACATAAAAAACATTTAACAGTGAAAATTTTACTAAACATGCTCTGAGTTAACTCATCCATGTAAATTTATCTCTTGGATAAGGTGATTTAAAACCCAGAGATACCTGTCCTCCTTATCTCCACTGTGGCATTTACTTTCTAGGAAAAGCAACTTAAACTGTATGAATCAGATAGAAAACAGCCAGATGGTGATGGTGTTTTCTCTTTTTAAATTACTGAAATCAAAGAGCTACCATAAATAATCTACATAAATGGCAGTACGAAGTCTGGCTTGCTCATCCCATCACAGTGAGCAAATATTGCTCTGAGTTTTGGATTGTTACAAAGCCTTGCTTAGGAGAGGCCAAACTGGAGGGTGAACTCCATCTGCTGCAATCCTCTCTTCCACTGGAAGAAACTCACATGTTGTCTTCTCAAACTGCCAACCTGTTACAAATAGCTTTTGGACAGGGAAGTTCATGCTCAAGTACTTACCTGTCCCCTCCTAAGGGGGTGCAGTGGGTCTGACTTTTCAATCATGCAGTCTCCTAGATTGATCTAAACAAAAAATTGTATATATGGAAAGTATTTTTTGTATATTGTGTGTGTGTATTTATGACTGCTACTTAGCTAAGACAGACTAGGCTTCTGATTTTATATTGAGAGTTCTGATGTGACATTCTCTCATCTTGTACATTGTATCTTTACCTCATTAAAATTACAGTTTCTTCCTTGGTCTTCAGGTAAAAAATCTCATATTGAAAAATTATGAAGCTTTGAAAGCAGTCAGACCTGTGTTCATTCAGCAGCTCTGAAAGAAACTCCTTTGCATGAGCTAGTTGAAGCAGCATTTTATTTTTTAGAAATGTGAATGTAGATGACATTCCACTTTTCCCTGTTGGAGTCAGCCCTTGTCAGTCACTTTTTCTGACAGGAGCACAGAAAAAAATTGTTTAGGAAAAACACCCACCACGATCTTATTGTGGGACATGAATTATGGGAGGGGAATATTTGCCAGTAGGTTTGCTGGGCATTTTTTTAATGCTTGAATGTGAAGCAAAAAATGCTGGCTTTATTGAGATTCTTATTGCTGAGATTTTATTTTGCGCATCCTGTCTATAGAAAACCAAACACATCTCAATATAATAGTTCAGTTTCTGAATAGTAAGACCAAAGTAATAAATAAATGTACAAGTCCCCTCATACAGCTACGCCGACTTATGCTATTATGCAAAGTTTTATTTTTCTTCTGATCTCCTGGTAATTACAGCCCTAAAAGCCTTCAGATGTCATATATCTTGCATGCATTGACTAACTTTAAGCAGACTCCTGGTCTGCAACACACGGTCTCCTTTACAAATTCACCAGAGCCTTTGCAACTGAAGTATTGCAGATTTTGCACAGTCATCCTGACACACTTTCAAATTTTCAATAACCAAAAATGGCACCAGGATATGAATTTTAAAAATCCTATTTAAACCTTTCACCTAAAGTTGTTATTCATTTCTTCTCCTCCCCATTCAAAAGCTGTATTGCAAGTTTTCTGGCTAATGACTGGAAGGGGTTACTTTTGTTTAAATAGCTTAATCCTTTCTCTATTAATAGATGTCTCTAAACGAATGTTATCTGACCTTCTATTTCATGACAGAACTGAGTAAACTCAGCTGCTCAGGAACATGCCTTTTGGTGCCTAGAAGTATTTTTCAAAGATATCTTAATAAAGTAAGACATTAGGGGAGGAGTAGCTTTGCAAGAACATCCTAGTATACATGCATAAGGATTGCCTGGATTATTATAAATTATTATAACAGGGGGCTGTCAACACAGAGATGCATACAGGGCGATCCTGTGTTTCAAAAGACACGAGTTTCTTCCAAGAGTATTTCTATTTCTAGTCCAATTTCAAAAGATTTCTTCTGCTTACAGTTAAGGGTTTTCCTAGCTGTTAAAGATTATGTCAATCTCAAGAAAGAAAAATTAATCCTCAGTTTCTCTGGGATTGTTTTAATTGGAAAGGCAGAATCGCAGTCGAAGTTACTCAGAACTCAAGACAGGAGCATTAACTTTCTACATTAAAATCCAACTCATTCGGGAGCAAAGCTTTCACTGACTACAGCAGGAAGTGGTATGTAAATGCAAAGTTCTCTTTTACGGAGAAGCATATCTGCCGAAGAAAAGTATGCTTTGCGTTGGGTTGTGGCGAATAAAGAAAAGGAAAGGATGGTCAGCAGTGAAATCCTCTTCCATAACCATGCAGAGCATAGCAATACCAGCAGTGGCAGCTGCAGCTTCCGTGCCTTCCTCGTTCACTTCTACAAAAGCCTTGTGGACAATTTTAGAGAGAAAGAGGTTGCGTGCCCCTGACATTCCTGACAAGTCAGCCTTGCCACTGTCAAATACATCCGTCAAACCCATAGCAGATAAATCTGATTTAAGGTCATAGCTTTCTTCTAGCTTAAACTTTGGCAAACGTACATGAAGATCACTGGAATATAGATGCTCTGGGCATGTCCATTCGTGGAGCTTCTCTAAGGTAATCTGCTCTTCCAGCTAGAATTAAAAAGATGGAGATCATTAAGTATCACCAGTGTAGAAATATTTCATCTTCAGTAATTTTTACAAGGCTTTATAAAACACTATACAACCATAAAGCAACAACACAAAAATGACCAGACCCACGCTTTTGATAGCTCCATACAGATCAAACAAATGCTACTAAAGTTGAGTCAGTGCATTTTTTACTTTACGAAGTAATGCAGACATTGGCTTCTTGCTGCAATGTACCTAAGGGAAAAACATGCACTGATAGCAACTAAACCCAGTCATTCTTACTGTTTAATCTAACTAAATGGAATTTCTTAATTAAAAACAAGTAAGAAAAATAATAATCAGAGAGCTCGAAGAAGCTGACGTGTTCCTAGTCATTTAATGGAAAACAGTCTCACTAAGGCTAAGGAAATAAAGACTTTCAAAGATCATGAAAGAAAAGTTCTGTCATTAAAAAAAATAAGCAAGGCAAGTTAATTCTCATAGTTAACTTTGTTTTCGCAGTCTGCTTCCTGGTTCAGTTGAGGAAGCCAAAGGAAACATGAACACAAGCTACGAAACCAGGACATAACTTCTCTTCCTGATGCAGCATGTGCACATATTCTTCATTGCAGTGCTAGCAGAGCATTGTCTGAAAATATGATTGATAGATATGGGGCTCTGAGAACAGGGTTTCATTAATGCTTTAATTTTGAATGGCTGAACTTATCCACTAAATAAGTGCGTTAGCTTAGATGGGTCACCTTCTGCAGTCCAGTGGAGTCATCCTCAATGTCATCAGGTAACAGGACAATCATACTAAGTTCTCTTCCATCATAAGGCAGCTCTAAAACACGAATCTTCATTTCGGGGATATACCCAAAATTAAATTTGTTTTTCTGATACATCATTTTTACTGTCTTTCTTTCATTCTGGATGGATAAAAGGTACCAAAAGTAACAGTTAAGAAAATACTAATTTAAAGAACTGATAGAAAAGTTAAAAATTGCTTTATTGCAAAAACTCTTCCTCCATGGTATCAGGTGATTATAAACTTCTTCTGTCGGACTCCTGACTGCCTGTTTAGTAACAGTTTCTTCTGAAGACATAATGAGATATGGTTCTCTTTTGGCTTCTATAGAACAGTCCTTAAAGGAACTGAAACAATTCCTTAGAGTTGCTGTGCCTTTATATTGCTCTAGCCCCAAAAATGACAATGTTAAAAGTCAACAAAGATTGACTCTGTTCAGCATAAAGCAGACTGTATACAGGACCTTGTAAAGCTATTAACATAAACAGAATATAGACCAAGCAAATGGGGCTTAACCACAATGTGCAATCATTTTAATACAGCTTACCTAGTATCACAAGCAGGCACAGTTCACAGCAGCTGAAACTGCTAGTGGAAAGAAACTGCTGGGCACAGGCAGGGTCCAATCTGTACATGTAGAGAATTCTCTCTTATACTATTCCCGTAAGTGAGAGAACAAATAGCTTGCTGATTACAGAAAAATACTAAAATCCACAAAAAACTCTTGGGTGAACTGAAAACATTAATGAAAGACTTTTTTATTTTTTTATTATTTTATCTGTAAGCAAAGCTTCACTTTAGCACCTATATCGTTTGACCTTTTTGTTGAATATATACTACCAAGATGTATCTCTATTACCTTATTTAACCGAAATGGCATGTCAATGGTGTCAGCTTCTTTAAATTTCTCTGCCCAGTTCCCTTTGAAATAAATAGCATTCACCAGTACAAGCTTGGTCATGCTATCAACTGAGCCTTCACACAGCAGATTAGGGATTTTACCTTCAGAGGGGACAGAAAAAAAAGTCACAACAAAATCATGTAATAAGTTGATGGCACATAAAACATATGTGAAGAAACTGATGCCATAGAGATACTACAAATATAAAACTCTAGGCCATTCACGTAACAAAGTGTGTTTCAGTACCTGTCTCTTTACTTCACCACACTTTTTAATAGCACAGACTACTATAACTTTTGATAGACTGATTTGATGAAAATGTAATATTTTTAGCTTAAACGGTCACATATGACTTATCATACAAGAACTAGAAAACACCCACATTTAGAATTACTGGATTTAGAACAATATAGACAATATGGACCAGGACTATCTAAAACAAATTCTCCAACTCATAAGTGTAAATCTATGTGTAGGCATTTCTCTGTCACTCATTAGTCTGAACACAAAAAAATAAGAATGTCTCTGAAATTATGGAACTGTGTAAATGTCTTGCTTAGGCATTTTCTGGTTCTGTCAATGCATCAACTGAATATCCCAGGGCCAAATTAAACTGTTCTAAAGGTGGCAGATAATAAAGCCTATTCCTGCTACCAAAGTATGAAACACTGACAGTTACTTTATTAACCAAAGTAGTTTACCTTCAGTTTTCTCCTCTACCCACTGGTTAATTTCTTTCCTGGCTTCATCATAAGCCTGAAGAAAATCAACTGCAGCCAAATCAGCTCCATATAGTTTCTGAGTACTAGTCAGGAAATCCTAGATTTTGGAATGATAATAATAGCTTTCATTGCATGCAGATAAGAAAACATATCTTTATGATGTAGATAAGGTGCATGTCAAACAGACTATCACCTGCTCTGAGGTGGGGCTCTAACAGTGCATTGCCTGAGAGGTTTCTGGGGTTGGGTTGGGTTTTTTTACCCCTCTCAGAGTCTCAGTGCATCTGCCACATACACAGCTGAGAGGGTGCTTACTGCAGGTGTTGCAATCTACCTGTCATTCTCCTTAAAGAGGCTCAAGCACAGCTAGGATAGAACAAAACTCTCCAAAAGAGCTGAAGAGGGATAAAAATAGCAACTGAGGTACACATAAAGGTATAATTCACTGATGAAGAAGCGTGTTGTTTAAACGTGTTGGGCATCCCCTCCCAAATAAATACAGTGTTTTCAAAAATATCTAAGTAATGTGGTACTAGAAAATCCTAAAAAGCTGATCGCAACAGACACAGAGCTGGTTGCATCCTAAAAAGTTGGTTGCAACAGAGGGGGGATGTATGATAGTTACTGTAAACTAAGTACCTAGACAAACAGTTTTTCTCTTGAGCCCAAGAGCAGCAGAACTGAACAAGCAATGAGAAGGATTTGCTGTGTAACATCGTTTAGGTGAGAGGCACAGATGCCTACAGATATGGAAATGCATATGCATGTATGCAACACTTGTGTCGACTGCCCAGTAACATTTAGAAATACACCTAGAAATATTTCTACTTCATAAATACTCAAATAGCTGCATTTTCCCACAAGGTTCCACTGCACCATCATGATCTGCAACAACATACCGGCAAAAAGCTGTAGGACTTCTCTCCAAAAAGCCGATTGGCAAGCCGTAAGAGATAGGGAGCATTGCTTCTGTTTATATCCGTAGTCAGAGTCTGAAATCTTGAATGAATATCTTGAACTTCGTCAAAATGAAGTGTCTGAAATAAAAAAAGTGACCCAGCTGCTGCTAATACTGTCTGTAAAGAACATAGAGTGTATCTATAGGGTGGGTCTGATCCAGTAGGTGGATAGGTTGAAGAAAGAGAAAAGAAGAGGCTGGAAGCTCCTCAGAGACTTCTGTAAACCTCAAAGAATGAATGAAAGCATTTCTTGGTGCTACGCTGCCTTTGTCAGACACTTGTATTAACCTCCTGGTTTATATGTAGTCGCAGCTGAAGCTGTTGATCATAAGCCTGAGTCCTGTCCGCATGCTGTCTGCACACCTCCCCTCCGGGGACCACTGGGCACAAATGCTCATTCCTGAGTAGGAAGCTGAAAAGAGGGACGATGCCATAGAGACGCTTCCGATTTCATGCCTCTCCCTTTGGCCCACGGGAACCAGGGGTTTTGCTTTTCAGAACATACAATCAAAACCAGCACAGGGCTTATTTGAGCACTCAAAGAAAGTGAGGTCCTAAGAAAACTTAGAGCAATTATCTTTTATGGTTTTATTAAAATATAACTGATTTTTTAGTATATATAACTGTATCATCTTAAAAATCAAATGCATTACTGCAGTTTCTCTTTACCAGTACCTCCTTTCCCAGAGGCAAGCTGGACAGCCAGGGCTTACAGATCGACAGCAGGAGCTGCCAGACCTCATTGACAGGGAAGACTAGACCAAAGCAGGGATGTTCACACTAAAACTTAAATCATGTCTTTCTCAGTAGGGAAGACGCCATGAAACAGCCACAGGATTCAAAGGAACGCCCACATTTTATCTCACGGGGTTTTTGGTCAGGCCTTGCTGTCCACTTTAATGCAAGCGGTGTTGTACATGTGAATAGCTGAACAAAAACATCACAGAGGCAATTTACAGTAGGATTATGATCACAGAAATGAATTTCTATATGCTTGCAAACAGCCCCTGACAGTTACCAATCACTGTCTGCTTTATCAGCTATCTCTTAAGAAGTAAAGCATTATGGTATCGGACATTCATTATTGAAGGTGACTGTGCTGACACACATTTCTTTTTCCCCCAAGTTCTTTTTGCGTGATTTCTGCTGTCAGTAGGTTTCTCCTAGGTGGGGCTGTCAGTTTGATTACATTAAATATATGTCCAAAGTCTGTTTGTACAAGTAGTGAGAAAATGATTTTATTGCCTTATGCAGTAAGCACAGCACCACTGAACAGCATAAAATAGTTCCTCCTAAAGTCCAGAATACAAAGGTGAAATTATTCATAGGCAAATACATGAGAAGTCTCTTACGCCCTTTTGCACTAGCGGGTGTTAGCCTAACAAAGGGGAAAAATAATAGTGACCAAGTCCGTTCCATGCAGGAGGCCTCAGGGGAAGCTGGCAGACTCCCACGTACATCATTTTTGCAGCATATAATGATTTTTTTTTAAATATCCTACCTAACCTAAGGCTATGGCAAGAATAAGCATGTGGGCTCATCTCCTCTGAGGTATCCAAGTGCCTCGCTGTTACTAAGATACTGGTATTTAGGTAGAATCATTATGTATTATCAGAGTTGTCATGCTTTAAATACAAAACTATATATTATTATTGTGTACAAAATACACAGTATTAGTGGTAATAAGCATACCGTTCGTAACCTTGTATTACTAAGCGCTAGTTTTTTTTTTCAAAAAGTGTCACGAAAACTAATAAGGCCTCACTGCTGGGAACTCCAGTCAATTTACCTGGAGACTGATTAATTAATGAAATTAGTTTCCTACTTCAAGAATTAATAAGTGAAATTAAGTGAGAAACAAGGGCCATAGCAAATATGGAAAGAGGGCTCTGGAGCAGGGCAAGCAGAAGGTAATTGCAGAAAAAAACTTGAGGAAAAGTCAGTGAGCATGACCCTCCTTTCATTTTCCCTCCTCTAAAACACAATTTTTAATGTAAATAATATATAAAGCAAAAGAGGGGTTTTTTTGTTTTGTTTTGGTTTTTTTTACTAACCTTCAGCACCTGGGCCTCTGTGTTACCTTTGGCTCCTAAAAGGACCATGGCCAGAGCAGCGGAGACACTGACAGGAGAGAAGAAAACATTTCCTGTTGGGTTGGTCTCATTAAGCCTTCCGAGCAGATCGAGTGCAAATCTGCTGTTGGCATTACGCAGGTTCTCCATGGTTGTGGCTGAAAAATAAAACAGTCAGTAAGGACTCTGGGAACCATGCTTCAGAAACATAACCTAACCTTGTGTGACTCACAGAGTAAAGACTGAATTAATCTGGTTGCATCTGGGCACAGAAACAGCAAGAACTTGTCAGTGCATCTTCTTAAAAAAAAAAATAAATTATTCAGTTATATTGAAAAGATGTAATTTTTTTCCATGTAAATTTATATCCCAACCTTCCCTATAATGCTAACTTTAAAGACATTATTTTAAAAAATTATTTGTCTTTTACCCTGAAATGGGAAGTATGTGTGCTGGTAGGATTGCAAGTTAAAGTCTTTCAGTCTCACAGACTCAGCACACCTCAGAGAGTGAATTTATGTAGATTTTCCCCCCACTCTTCTACCTGAGTCCTGCACACAAAGCATTCCCAGCAACTGATCAGAGAGATTTAGGCACTTTTCAGCAAGCTGCCCATCTTCATAGCACAAACCATGCCACAAAATGAAAGGTGCTGATCCCACTGAAGGCTTAAGTATACACTTACCTTCAGCAGTGTAAAGCAATACTATTTCCACCAGCCTGCTCTGCTGAGAATAAGCAAGCTACCTGCACACTGCATCCAGGTACAAATGCACCTGAGTCACAGGTACAAACACACCTGAGCAGCCCTAAACACACGGCAGAGAGCCCGGGGGTTTGTTAGCTGAAGGTGACGTACCGCTTAGCGAAGGCAGAAGCAAAGCACAGAACAGACAAAGCTCCAGCGCTGACACCGCACAGCCAGAGCAGTGATTGATTTTGGTAAGATGCTCCCTAGGAGGCCCTTGGAGTGGGGTGGGGTGAAAGCTGCAAGGGCTGGGTCAGGTGCAAAAACCTAGGCAAAAGCTAGTGGCAGTACTGCCTGATGCTGTAAAACCTTCCCGCATGCCCAGCTCAAATTCCTGCTTGCTTGCAGCAGCACTCTTGGATTTTTCTGTTTCTAGCTTGTTTCCTCCAGGGGTTTCATTTTAGATGCAGGTATTTGTGGATCTGCTCCCAGCAGCCAGGGCTGCAGCCCAATAATCCTCCTGTAAGGACCCTCCAGACCCAACTGCATGGATGAGTTTGCACCACAATCTGTGTCTTTCGAGCACAGGCTTTCTACAGGAGTTACAAAATAACACTATCTGCTTCCATCGCCAGATGGATAAATGCCCTGCATTTTTGCAATATGTTTTTATCTAGCTCTATGCTAAAACAACAACAAAAACCCTAAAAAAACCCAAACAAAAAACAAGCAAAAACCAAAAAACCCAAAACAAAAAAACCAAACGCAAACCCAAAAACATACTTTTACTTTCATTTACATACACCTCCGCACTAAGCAAACCTTTCACTGCAATCCCCGTTTTCTAGCGCCCACCCCAAGGATGCCCGAGACCCCGCCACCGAGGAGGGAGCAAGGGCTGGGGGGAAACCTCC